TTATGCTTTGTGTGAAATTAATTGTTGTTTCTTAATGTTTATTAGAATTGAAAAAAAATCAAAAAGGTTTCCTTTTTGTTTCATGTTTTAGAAAAAAAAATTTTCTCAACTAAAATCTAAATTGTCGTTTTCCAGTAATTGTGTTTGATAATCGTGGAAACGGGGAATCGAGCGTCCCTTCTTCTAAGGATCCTATTTCGATTGATTTGATGGCACGAGATACAATCGCATTGGTCAAGCATCTTGGAATTAAACAATTTAATCTATTGGGGTGGTCTATGGGTGGTAATATTCGAAAATCTGAATATTTAATGGTCTTTCCAATGATGATTTTGATTCATGAATGTTAATTTCTGTATAATTTTTATAGGCATTATCGCACTTTGCGTCGCCTTGAATATTCCATCGGATCTTAAGCTAGAGAAATTGATCATTTGTTCAAGGTATATATACTGTAATTTGCATTACTCATCTTTGATAAAGTTTTGCTCGACCCATAGCAAATCAAATCTTCGAAGATTTTTATAACTTACCAGAATTAGACCCCCCGAAAAGCGTCCAAGAACAAAAGGACATGATCACTGCGACCTTTTCTGATTACCTACTTGAGCATCCTGACAAGCTTGATAAGCTTGCGAAATTAAACATTCATCGTCCATTTGAGATTTACAGTATGTATATTTTAACCAAGATTCATCGTGATTAAGGTTCTCGAGGATTGAAAAATACTAACTTATCTATTTGTAGAACGACAGCCCAAACTTTGCTGGTTCATGGTGAAGCCGATGACATAGTTCCTATTCGGGAAAGTGAATTACTTGAGCGTGAAATTCCTGGTGCACAATTTTATAGGATTCCTAAAGTTAGACATGCGTAAGTGTAATTTTAAAAAAAAATTGCATCAAAAAATCTCCATTAAAAGCTATTAACAACAGTTATTTGAAAATTTAAGGTTTTGGCTAGCAGAACCCAGATCCGTTGCTCACATTAATAAATTTTTGCTTGAATGAAATCAGATGTCGAAAATTACATTTTAAATAATAAAGAATGTTTTATTATGTTAACTAACCATGAATTATTAATAAAAGCGAGGTACAGTGGTTCCAAATTGGAACAAGGAAAAATTATGTAATATCGCATTTTTATATACTAATACACTATATGTGATCGGTTAGCTTGATTTATCAAATTTCGAAGCGAAGAAATAATATGCTCTAGTTTTATACCAATTATAATCACGCGAGTCAGAAAGAATATGTATCATTGCTTTATTTGTTTACGAAATAAAAAAAGAACGTCGCTGAAGACAAAAGACAACAACATACAAATAAAAATGAAACACATATATACAGTAAATAAAAAAATTATTATCCATTCATTGCATTATATTTAAAGAGAATATTTAGAGATATTAAAATATAGTAACAATCCTTGATTATTTAAAAAAAAAATAAAAAATTTGTTAATTTCTTTTCTATCAATTATTTGAAATAGTATACTGTGTTGCAGCACATAAAAAATTAAATTCTTGATTCAAGGAAAAAATGACATTTTCATATATGAGGGGCGCTCTAGGAAAAGAAGGGTCGGAGATTTTTGATCAAAAAAAATTTTTTTATATAATATTAAACTATAATATGATGATTATAGTTGGTGAAAAAATTGGACCCAGTTTGTTTAGTACAAAAATAAATTTCCTGGGGTG